ATTTTTTATTTTTCTCCCAAAATTATCAACTCTCATTTACAAACTCCTACTGTGATTGATGAGGATAATTATGGTGATTTTACTGAGATTTGCAAAGTTATTTCTGGAAACCGTTTAAGAAGTTGGCCTGCACACCCAAGAAAATTTCAAGTCTCTCAACTCACTGCCTTTTACTCTGTCTTATTTAGACTCACAGTGATGAATTGGATTCCATCCAAAAATGTCTCTGTGGTAACAAAACCTCATGCTGTACTCATGTACAAATTGGGGATGGGTTTACCAGTGGATTTTGGCAAACTGTTCTTTGATACTATTGGTCATCTTGCCCAGAAAATTTCACCCTCCACTCACCTCCCCTATCCTTCTCTCATCTATTCCATCCTACTCTCTCAAAACTTGGGCCAAGATGACTCAGAATATCTTCACACTCCACAAGGCATGATCACTGTTTCCCAAAATTTTCTGAGAGCTCCTCATGTTCAAGATCTTCCCTGGAATGGAGATAATTTTCTCTCAACTGAATCAGGTCAAAATAACATTGGTACTGAGGGTGTTGCACCTCATGTTGACAACACTTCTAACCTTCTTGTGTCTGTTCCTAGAGATCTTCTATTGCAGCAACTTACTCATTCTCTAGCTCAGATTACCTATCATCAGTCCATGGTGGAGATGATTCAGAAGGCTCTTTCTGATCAAAAAGGGGGAGAAAAAGATCATGAAACTGAAGCAGGAACATCTCATCCTTTGGATGCTAGAGGCAGAGAGCAAGGAGTCAATGAAGAGGAAGCAAAGAAAGAGGGGGAAGCTCAAGAAGAAAGCAGTGGATCTAGTGATGGAGGAGGAGCAGCAGCTGAAACTGAGGAGACCTTGGAGACTTTGGATATTTTACTTTAGATTGTTTTCATGAACAATATTTTTTGTTTGTGTTTTGTTTATTTTCCCTCTGAACTTTTGTTTAGGACTGCACTTTGATTATTTATTTTGTTGGACTATCTTGCTGAATTTGGTTTTAATTTATAGTTTCTATGTTTTTCAAATGGTATCAAATTCAGGGGGAGTTCAAGCAATATCTCAGGGGGAGTCTTTGACTACGATTTAGTTTTGATCAGAAAGTTAAAAAGGGGGAGTTTGAAACACGTGAATTAATTTCACAATGTGTTTTTAACTTTTCTTAACTTTAAACTAAATCTTAGTTAGTGGGCTAAGTGGGGTTAAGTAATGCTTAGTGGATTTAATTATGGAATTTATCTTAACTTCCAAACTAACCCACTAACCCATTATCTTGAGTGCTCTTGTGGTTGGTTTTCTTGCAGATCATGGGCTGAGAAGTGGAAGCTTGGCAAGTCTATAAAAACCCAACTCAAGACTCAAGATTTAGACAGATTTCGGGGAAACAAAAATAGAGCTGAAGTTTTAATCTCGAGAATTTTAGTGTGTTTTCTAGGATCTGTTGTACGTACTCTTTATGAGTACATTCTTTGAAATCTAGAATTTTTGATATCTTTCTTTTAGTATCTAGATTTGGTTGTAAGAGTGATCTTGAAAAAGATTCACTCATACGGAAGAAGTTTTCGCACTCTTCTGTTTGTATTCTTGAAATACTGATTTTAATATATTTTTCCGTCCTGTAAAGGGCAAGTTCACAAGTCTTTACTTGTGAACATTTTTAATTCTGAGCATTGTCCTTTAATCATTATATTTCCGCTGCATGTTGTCTCAAGTGTCATAACATTTTAGATAACATCTCTGTATAATACGAATTCGGGACCATAAATTCTTTCAACCATCAATCATACAATTATAATAATTGAAGATTTTAAATTGAATTTAAATAAATTTAAATTAAATTAAAGTTAAATAATACTATTTAGAGTTTCCAAAAATTGATATATTTAGAGCATTTTATAAATAGTATGATATAAATATATAATAAAATAATTTAATATCTTTTTAATTTTGGAAAATGGTGACATGTTTTTTAATGATTTGTTTTCACCAATCAATTTGCCACATGAGATGAAATTGAATACATGTCACCAACTGAAATTGACAAATGTCAATCAATTAGGTGTGAAATTCAGCGTTTATATATTATATAGATTTTTTTATTTTCTTTATGTAATACTATGAGCTTTGACTATTATTTGTTTATTGAACTATATGGTCTGTGAATAAATATGATGTGTTTCAAAAGTATTATAATAGGCTATTGGGCTAGTGATTGATAAATATTAACAATAGAAGAGCTTACATGCATTTAGCTTTACTTTTAGAAAATTACAAAGTAGTACATGGTAAATTAACAAAAAAACATTTAAATAACCACGTGGCACTTTGTTTGTAATTATATACAAATATTATGACACAATTTTAAATAATAATTATCATCACGTGTATACATGATAATATATATTTATTTAGGGTTTTTTTTGTGTAAGCAGCTAAAATATACATGGATATTTTTACACTGTTATTTCATCGTTGTAATTTTGCGTGTAGTATTGGTGATTATGCGTGTAGTATTATTTAAGCAACGGACGTTTGTACTTTTTTTATTTTAGCTGCAAAAAAAATCAGTAGATTGTGTTGGATTTGGTTTCCAGTTAGTATGGTAATTTTATATAAATCCTATATTAGGTACATATCACAATAATTTATGATCTGACGGCGGTGTGCATGTTTATGTGTGTGTGTGTTATACTTCAATTTGAAGGGTGTGTGTGTGTTTGTGTTCGTAGCATATATATATAAATCAGATCACAATAATATATGAACGGTGGTGTGTGTGTTTGTATGTGTGTGTTATATTTCAATTTGAAGGGTTAAGGGCAAGTTGTAAATATGTCACATTATTTTAATAGGGATGTTGAAGATCAGGGACTGAAACGATAATACTTAAACTTTACACAATCATGTTAAAATTATTTTTAATTGCAAACTGGCCCTCACACATTTCAAAATGTACATAACTTTTTGGAGGTAATTGCAATTTTAGAAGTTGCATTTGGAAACAATAATTCTTCTTCTAAAACCGACTTCCTCACCCCAAACATATTTCATTTGCCATCAGAGCGAAAGTGAAACGAATCCAAAACGAACCAAACCAAACCAAAACCATACTAAACCGAAGCATTGCAAACCAAATCCGAACCGAATCATATAGGATACTGAATACTCACGTAATCTATTTTATCGCTTAATTTGTTCACTGTATATTGATGCAAACTAACATCATATTGAAAGGAATATAGAATATTTTTACCATGAAATAAACAAATGCCATTAATGTCAAAGTACCAAACATAACATAAAAACAGATCGAAAATATCGAGACCAATGTAGCACTTTAAAATGAAATAGAAAAAACAAAAAATATCGTAATAAATGAAACGATTCAAATGTGAAAGAACCAAATGGAATGTCTGCAATATTTTTAATATCGAGAGAAATTTGTCGGCCGTTCAGTAAACGAATTAGGCAGTATCATACGACCTTGTAACGGCAAAACATTCGCCTCTCTGTTCAAAACCGTGTATGATAATCCCTTACAATTACCAAATACCAATTCTTTGTTAAGCAAACCAAATACCAATTCTTTGTTATGCAAACCATCGTCTGTCAATCAGGACGATTCAATGATATTAAGAGTATAAGCGAGGTACATGTCTTTCCTAAACCCATCGAACGTAGCTTTCGAGATGATATTCATCTGAAAAATATAATAAAATTTAAATATTAATTAGTAAAAAAAACAAAATAAAACATATTGGTAAAATCATGAGATAAAGATGATTCATTCATGTATTTATACGAACCTATATAATTCTTTCATAAAATAATTAAAAGTATAAACACCAAATTTGAGCATATAATATATTGAAATTATAATTATGAAATTTTTGGAGATAATAAAATATTATAAAATTAAAAATGAAAGAAAAATCATCAATAAAAAATAACGAAAGAACTAAATAACAACATTTGCAAAAAATCAAGAGAACCTAATTTAAAAAAGGAGCCGATTTTATCAAAACAAAAAGCACATAGCCATACGTTTTTTATCGAATGAAAAATGATGGTGGAATAAAGTGAATTGGTAGGGGGTTTATATACTTATATATGACTAATGAAAAAAAAAAAACAATCAATTATATTTGGTAATAATATAAATAACATTAAATTAAAAAGTATATATATATATATATATATATATATATATATATATATATATATATATATATATATATATATATATATATATATATATATATCATACGCATGACTTTTTATATGATAAATGTGATATTTATGATTTGATTGGTAATTTCTATATATGCAAATTAATGACATGTACAATTATACAAATGATGACATGTTTTTTCTTAATTTTCGTAACCAATTAAATGGACACGTGAGATGAAATTAAAGACATGTCAGCATTTGAAATTGACAAATGTCAATCAATTAGGCATAGAATTCAACTTTTATATATTATATAGATTTAATACATAATAATAAAAACATAATCCGAGTGTTGAATTCCCACCCCACCACCCACAGGAGTGGGACCCACTGACCCTGCACCTAACCAATTTAAATTAGCACACGCACACTACACATATTAAAAGGTGTAAAATATATCACCAAAACCGCACCCTCCTTCCTACTCTACTCCGATCCTCCCACTCCCCGCCGCTTTATTACTAGTAGTCATAAATCGTAACTAAAATCCCCGAAATAATAATAATATGTAATACTCTAGTAAATAAATATCACCAAAGCCCAAAACAAACAGCCGGGTATATATACCATTTTCTCTCTCTATCTCATTCTCTACTCCTCCGTTTCCTTCCTTCCTTCTTCTCTCTCTACCCCTCCCTCTCCTCTCCTCTCCTCTCCTCTCCTCTCTAATAAACACACACACACACACACACACTACATTACTATATTCTTGTTTTTCTAATTAAATTTCTTGATTTTCACTTGGAATTCAATTTTTCTTTTTGGGGGTTTCTTTTTCAAGGATCAATTAAACATGGTTGAGACGCGGCGGAGCTCCTCTTCTTCCAAGCGCCCCTTACCTTCTCCTCCATCTTCTCTGCCTAGCGGCAAGCGATCCAAGGTTGCCTTTTTTTTTTTCTCCCTTTTTTTCTTTTTTGTAATGTAATTTTGCCATCAGGTTATTTTTTTTTCTCCTTCAATTTTTGTTGTTTGCATGTAGGCGGCGGAGGCGTCTTCTTCATCTACAAACGATTCGCCGGCATCAGAACAAGTGATAGGCGCCGCTGAGCCTAAACAATTGAATGCTGGATCCGCTGATCTGCCAAACGGCGGTGGCTTCAAGCACTCCGATGATTCCGCGGCCGAGAAACCCTCTGAGGCGGCCGTTCAAGGTAATTTTGGACTTTTTTCCGATTGATTTTATTCTATTTATGTGAATTTATTATATTTGGTTCATTTTGTTTGTCTTGATTCAATTTTTCTTTTTCTTTTTTTTGCCAATATTTGGTGACTCTGTAGTAGTAGTAGTGGAGAAAGGGAAGACAAGTGTGCCATTAGTGAGTTGCGGTAAGAAACGGCAAAGGAAATCTAATGCTGGGGTTGCATGGGGTAAACTCATTTCCCAGTATCCAAAGGTGTGTTTACACTTGAACTCAATCGTATTTTATGATCTCGTTTATTGGATTAAAAAAGTTGAAGACAAAAAGGAAATAAATAATCAAACCTTTACATAGTTTTTTTCATTCTCAGAATGTGGTTAATTGTTAGTGAGATTGGCAGTGATTATTGAACACTGAATGTATGCACACACATCAACTGGATTTTTCATGTTAATTAAGTCTGAGAAAAAAGGATTGATTTTGCACTTGTGTATGTGCTATTCTCTATAATAGTCTATGTTTGTTGAGATTATGAATTTTATGTCAAACGTAGAATAATGATGTTCCCTTAAAATTAAAATGATGAATGCAATGAAAGGCATGCACTTAACATCTTATGTTGATGAGGGTAGTTGCAGCATTTCTCATAAAATCGTCTTTCTCAGTTCTCAATTAAAGTATCCATGTTATCTTGAATTGTTTTGCATGCATGTATCCATGTTTTACATTCAACACTGACTATAAGGTGCTGTGGAGAATATAAGGTGTTTAGAACATGACTTGTTTCTTAAATTTATGTGATGGATTTGGCCATATTTGCTTGTTTAGCTGCAATGCTGAATTCACTTAACTATTTAATACCAGTTCTAAGTCTTTGGGTTTTTTCAACGCAATGTTTGTCCAGAATCCACATGTTGTTCTGCAACATCCTACTTTCACTATTGGTCATGGCCGCCAATGCGACTTATCTGTTGGAGGTCCAACAGCTAATAAGCCATTGTGTATTATAAGTCACATGGAGTCCGAGGTATACTCTTATCTTTTTGCTCGTATTTTTTTTGGTTAACAAATTTTCAGTTTTTCCAAGAATTCAAGGTAGTCGAATTTCCCATTCTGATGTTTAATTGTCCTATAACCTGTTTGTGTCATTTACTTTGTTGACATATCTTAGGGAGAGAAGTCAGTCACTTCGCTTCAAATCACCGGAAAAAAAGCCGTCCAAGTTAATGGAAAATTTTACGGTAAAGATGCCACTATTCAACTACATGGAGGGGATGAGGTGGTTTTTGGCTCATCTGACAAGCATTGTTATGTATCCTGTTACTGTAATAATTTATTTCTCATTCTTTTAAAGTAGTTTTCTTCTTTTTTGACTGCTGGTACATTCTAGTTTGCTACTTTATTAGAAAGCCATAAATTTCCTTGACGCTCTTTTAGATTTTCCAAGAACTGACCAAAAACAGTGAATCAGCAATTGGTCCAGTCAGCATATTAGAAGGTCATGGTGGATCCATACATATTGGGGAGAGATCTGTTGCATCAACTCTGGCTTCGCTATCACATCTCAGTGAAGAATTATCTCTTATTCCTCCATCTTCTCGAAATGGTGAAGGTGTACAACAAAATCCTGAAATACCGTCTTTACCCTCTGCCCATAATGAAGTATCAGAAAAATGTGTTATTGACTCTGAAATGAAGGATTCCTCTCTCCATAATGATGGTGCTTCGAATGAGAAGCTGAATATTGATACGGAGATTGGAAAGATAGTCAATGGGGAAAGTTTGCATTTTTTAACAGCTTCTAAGTATGATATAGCTGGCAGGATATCAAGAATTATTGAAGAGCATACAAAATTCACAGATATGAGAAAGGGTTCTCATCCTCCCATTTCAACCTCATCAAGACGTCAAGAATTCAAAGATCGTTTACAACGAGGACTAATAGATAGCAAAGAAATCAATGTCACATTTGAAAATTTCCCCTATTACCTAAGGTAAAAACATTTCAAGTTAGCTGTAGGTCCTATTTATTGTCTCTAGTGTTGTTTTATCACAGCTGACCACCAAATAATAGTAATTAAAAGGTGAAGGTGGGTCATTCTAGAATTTTATAGCAGAATGTTATAACTCAATGTACTTATTCAACAGTACATGCTTGCAGAATTGGTGTCTCCGGAGTAGTATGATTTTTTGCTAAGCCGTATATGTATATGCACATTAAATTTTTCTCATTTTCTTTTTCATTTCAGTCGCCAGCACAATTTTCATGTCGTTATATTTGTATGATATAGGCCATTATACGGGCTTAACTACTTGCTTCTTTCTCCTTGTCTCGGAGTCTTGAAAAATCTATAAATTTTTAACGTTTGCACCCAACGTTTTTTCTCCTTGGCTTCATTCGTTTCTGGTTCTTATTAATAATATGTTGTCATTATGCCTCGGATCAGAGACTCCCTATTTTCTTAACATTTAAATAGGTTGCCCTATTTCACATTATACCTAACTGCTTTGTGCTTGTCTTAATTTGTATTTCTCCTACAGTGAGACCACCAAGAATGTTCTTATTTCATCAACATACATACCTTTGAAGTGTAATAAATTTGCGAAGTTCACTTCAGATCTCCCTACATTGAGTCCGAGAATAATGTTGTCGGGTCCTGCAGGTAATATAACTCCATTTTTTATTTATTTTTTCATTTTCTTTATCTAAACGTACTTTTTCCACCTGATCTTAGCCATCATATCACCCCTTGTCTTGATAGGTTCGGAAATATATCAGGAGACATTGACTAAGGCAATTGCTAAACATTTTGGAACAAGGCTCCTTATAGTTGATACTGTTCTATTGCCTGGTGTACGTTTCTACTTTAGCTATTTTCAAATGTTTTTATTATTAATCTACCATCTATCTAGTAAATTGAATACTTGCAATTGAATTACGAGTTATAATTTGTTAGGGACCTATAATGAAGGAAGTAGACTCTGTCAAAGAAAGTTCAAAGCCTGATAGAGCTAGTGTTTTATCTAAACGAAGTTTTGGTAGTGGATTTCACCTGAAAAAACCAACGTCAAGTGTGGATGCTGATATAACTGGGGGTTCTGCTTTAAGCTCTCAGGCTCAGCCTAAGCAGGAAGCATCTACTGCTACATCAAAGAAGTATACTTTCAGAAAAGGTTTTGTACTGAAGCTTTTCTTACCCCTTTTTTTGTACTTAGTTTAAGGTTGGGATGTCTATGTTAAATAGATGCTGTCTTGTTCTTGTTTTGGCAGGTGACAGAGTAAAGTATGTGGGTTCTTTACCATTAGGATTTTCTCCTGCCCAAACCACAATCAGGTAAAATATCCATCAAACTACTATTGTTCTTACACTTTTATGCTTACATAGTATTTTAAATATGCTGCTTGTGCTTACACAGTTGAAGAGCTGCCCGATCCTATGTATTTGTTGCATGTGATTTTGATTTTATGTCTAGGATTACAGCCAGATTCTCTTCAACTATGTAAGAACAAGAGCTGCCCGATTCTATAGGATTGAGATCGTTTATATGGATTTTCTTTATCTCTTCCGATATACTCAGATATATAATATTTTCAAATGTCATAAATTTGAAATGTTTTATTTTATGAAAGCAGTTTTACATATTTTTGCGTTCCCATTTTTTTGTATCACTTCACGTGGTATATGTGTAGTATATATTTGGAAACAAATCCGCAACATTTTTAATCACATGACTCAACATTTAGACTAGTTAATTCATATGTTTGGGCACACAAGTGAATCATGTGGTTTATAATCGACAGGACAACTTAAGTGGAAGTCATTCTTGTTGTTTCAGTTTTGCATAATTCTCCTCTTTTCATGTGCCTTGTACTTGGCATTGCCATCCGTATAGAACTTTGTATGTTGCGGTGATGTATTTACTATGATTAATATCAGTGGATATGGTAACTAAGAGCCGGAGGTCGTTCAGATATTTTCTACTCATTTCTTAAATGTGTTTTTAATTACTTGAGATTTTGGTTTAAGAGACATCTAGTAATTGCTTGGCATTGTATTTTGACGGGGGATAACATAAATTTTTGTGCAGGGGTCCAACCAATGGTTACAAAGGCAAAGTAGTACTTGCGTTTGAAGAAAACGGATCTTCTAAAATTGGGGTTAGATTTGATAAAACAATTCCCGAAGGTAATGATCTTGGTGGCCTATGTGAAGAAGACCATGGTTTCTTTTGTGCTGGTAATAACTGTTTGCCTATTTGGGCTTCTGTTCCAATTCTTTATATAAACCTTAATCAAGTCCGACAAATCTGGTTTTTGTGGTATTATATGCAGCTGACTTACTGCGTCTTGATAGCTCCAACAGCGATGACATGGACAAGCTTGCCATTAATGAGCTCTTTGAGGTATTAACTCATTTTATATATTTATCACATGTATTTAATTATCAGTGAATATTTTACAAATAAGTAATTTTGTAGGTGGCTTCGACGGAAAGTAAAACTAGTCCGTTAATTTTGTTCTTGAAAGACATTGAGAAATCCATGGCGGGAAACGCAGAGGCGTACGCATCATTTAAAGTAAAGCTTGAACAATTACCAGAAAATGTTGTTATAATAGCTTCACATACCCAAACAGACAGCCGCAAGGAGAAAGTAGGTCGTAATTGTTGTTATTTTCATATTTATACGTATTTATGATATTTATGTTGTGTAATCCAATCCATATGTCGACTTTTCAGCCTCATCACGGGGGATTGCTTTTCACAAAATTTGGAGGCAACCAAACAGCATTACTTGACCTTTCCTTCCCGGTATGTTTTATTATTCCTTGTGTTATTTATCATTGTTCTAATTTACTTGGAATGCATTTTCTCACCTATTAGCTTGCGTTTGAGAAATTCCATGTACCTCAAATGCTGAAAGGACAACATCCTGGCTATTTGAATACAACTTGAGCATATGAAATTAATTAATTGTGTTTTTGTTTATTTTAGGATAATTTTGGTAGATTGCATGATAGAAGTAAAGAAATTCCAAAAACACAAAAGCAGCTCAGCCGCCTTTTCCCAAACAAAGTGACCATACAGATTCCTCAGGTAATTACTTATTTGGTTTTCGTATGATTTTTCTCTGTTATGCTAGACATATCATCAAATTATTGTTCGAATGTGACAGGATGAAATAGCATTAGTCGAGTGGAAGATACAATTAGATCGAGATATCGAAATAATGAAATCAAAGTCCAACATTGCCAGCATTCTCTCAGTATGTCTCGTCCCTCAACTTTTACTTCTTAATTATATTATATTATATTATATTCTCCATGATTTGCTTGATCTTCCATGAGGGTTAATATTTGTGTTACAAGCAACACACCACTAAAAGATCAAGAAAATTTATAAAAAAAATAAAAATCAATTTTATTTACTTGATAAGGCATAACATTTTGTGTTTCTCGCTCTTCTCGTGAATTTCAGGTCCTGAATCGGATTGGCCTCAGTTGCCCGGATCTCGATACATTATGCATAAAAGACCAAGCTTTGAATAGTGAAAGTGAGTTGAATCTCAAACAACTTAAATTTCAAATTAGGTGTCATGTATTCAACTGCATGTTCCTTAACACTTGCTGTAATGAATGATGATAGGTGTTGAAAAAATTGTTGGCTGGGCTTTAAGTCATCACTTTATGCATTTCTATGAAGCTTCACCCGAGGAGTCTAAATTTGTCATTTCAATTGAAAGGTAAATCTATTTTTGTCACTCTTCCGTTACCAGTGTATGTAAGGCTGAGGTTAGGTTCTTACGTTTATTCTGTATGGCTTTCTATTCCAGTATCAGATATGGGCTCAACATTCTACAGGGCATTCAGAATGAAAACAAGAGTTCTAAAAAATCTCTCAAGGTGAAGCCCTTTACATCTCTGTCTTAACTTACTCGTTTAAAATATATATATATATATATATATATATATATATATATATATATATATATATATATATATATATATATATATATATATATATGTACATAATCTGGTATAGAAAGAATAACTGTTTGAGTTTCAGGATGTGGCTACTGAAAATGATTTCGAGAAAAAGCTACTTGCTGAGGTCATCCCACCTGGTGATATTGGAGTTAGTTTTGATGACATTGGAGCATTGGAAAATGTGAAGGAAACTTTGAAGGAATTGGTGATGTTACCTCTGCAAAGGCCAGAACTATTCACCAAAGGACAGCTTACAAAAGTAAATTAACTGTAAAGCAATTATAAGCTCAATTAAAAGCATTTTGTTCGTCTTATTTGCTAACACTATTACCATTGGGCAGCCATGTAAGGGAATATTGCTGTTTGGGCCTCCTGGTACTGGTAAGACAATGCTTGCAAAAGCTGTTGCAACTGAAGCTGGTGCAAACTTCATCAATATATCAATGTCAAGCATCACTTCAAAAGTAAAACACTTAACTTCATTTTGCTACTCTTTCTTGTCCGCATTACAATTTCCGATCAGCAAGAAATGTTCATTCTTCTTGATTTGTTCTGTTTATTCAGTGGTTTGGTGAAGGAGAGAAATACGTGAAAGCAGTGTTCAGTTTGGCTAGCAAAATAGCACCTAGTGTTGTCTTTGTTGATGAGGTGGACAGCATGCTAGGGAGAAGGGAAAACCCTGGAGAACATGAAGCAATGCGTAAAATGAAGAACGAATTTATGGTGAATTGGGATGGTTTGCGTACAAAGGATAAGGAAAGAGTATTAGTACTTGCAGCAACAAACAGACCTTTCGATCTTGACGAGGCTGTAATAAGGAGGCTCCCAAGGAGGTGTCTTTTCATTTTAGTATAGCAGCCAAAAGAAAGATAAATTTTCTATTTGTATTATTATTATTAATAATAACTGAAAAGCGAAATGATATTTTGGTGTGCAGGCTGATGGTAAATCTGCCAGATGCTCAGAATAGGGAGAAAATATTGAAAGTGATATTAGCAAAGGAAGAAATGGCTCCAAACATGGACCTTGAAGCAGTTGCTAATATGACGGATGGATATTCAGGCAGTGATCTAAAGGTTTTGATCAATGATTGATTATTCACCATCTTTAAATTCTGGTGTTTGTTTTCATTTTCACCCTAATGATTATTATTATTATTGTCCGTTTTCCAGAATCTGTGTGTGACAGCTGCACATTGCCCCATAAGAGAGATTTTGGAGAAGGAGAAGAAGGTGTGTGTAATTGAAGTCTATATCTTTTTCTCAGCTGACTTTCTGCGCAATAATATTCTTTGGTTACTTTCTCCTATAGTTGCATTGAGAAATTTCTTCTTAGGGAATTTTTTTGTTTTAAATTTACAAAGTGAAACTAGTAAAGTAACATGCATAATTGTAGGAGAAAGCATTGGCAGAGGCAGAGAACAGACCGACGCCCGCATTGCATAGCAGCTCAGACGTTCGTTCGCTGAATGTGGATGACTTTAAATATGCTCATGAACAGGTAGGTATAATTGATTCAGCTTGATGGTTCGAGAATTGAAATTTGGAAATTTGGAAATTAAAAATGGGTGTTTTTGGTTGGAAAATGTAGGTGTGTGCAAGTGTTTCATCAGACTCGAGAAACATGAATGAGCTAGTGCAGTGGAATGAACTATATGGAGAAGGTGGATCAAGGAAGAAGGAATCACTTAGCTACTTCATGTAGACAAGAAAGAAGATCATAATATATCACAGAATCTGCATACATATTTATATATATATTTATAGTGTCTGTCCACCAGATAAAAAAAGTATCTCTTCTCTATCAAGATTTATCCTTATAAACGTTTTTTCAAATTCTGTATATTCTTCATGTATAATTTTAATTCAATGTACATCTTCCTAATTACCTTTCTCCCAAAAATGATGATGATGATGATGTCAGATATGCGTTGCATGGCCTTTTAATGTTTTGGTCTATGTATTTATTATTTATTAGATTGTATGTTTTCTTGCAACATCTTTCTTTAGGACCGACCTCAAGTTTTATGTGTACATATGTAGACATATGCAGATCATCAAGGCCTTGCTTTTACACATTCAACGGACATTCATATTTATTTATTTTATCTTGTCTTACATCTTTATAATTTATTATCACAACGTAAATTAATTATTATGGCTTGAATAACAAATTATTTGTTACAATCTTTAGTCCCTTAATTTAAAATGGACTACTTTGTTATTAATATTGTCAAGCAACTTATTCCTTTTATTCTGTTTAGATCTGAATAATTCAAGAATTGCAAATATTTTTGGATTATGATAATCATAAAAGATTCTGAAATCTTTAAAGTTATAAATAACAAAAACTTGACAAGAGATAAATGTGTTTTAGATACTGAAAAAACAATAAAATATTTTATTTGGTGATGACTAGAGTTTGTTTTTGTGGTGGCACCAACATTTAACAAATATTTTGACGCCTCGAATTCTCACATCATTCGATCAACTGTGTAGAACAAAGAATAGAAGAAAATAAAAATAATGACGTCTCCAGACTTAAACCGGAGACCGAAGACCTTCAACTACACCACGACACCAGGTCAACTAGTTTTAATCACTTTTATTTTGTAAATGTACTAATGTAGCATATTCGTTGATAACAAATTTACAACACATTCCATTTTATGGAAACTGAAACATGTATTCATTTGATCAGTAAAGTTTTTGCAATTCGAACCTTCTCGTAATCGTGCTTTAAACAATTGCTAAAGAAAGATCTATCATAAACCGGAATCCCTATCATATACAAAAGAAGTTTATTCTGCAAACTAAAATCTGTGAAGTTTTTAATGATGCTTGTAGAAGAAAAAACAAGGAGAGGGGGGCACGGAATGGATATAACTCAATTACCATCGTTGAATTTTTCAAATCTCAGAAATCAGAATGAATCAACTTTCAGATAAATAAGAGGTACTACAATACCACCACAGATTGGAATGAAATATTAGTTCTGACCGGGAAGATAGCACAATAAAAATATCTCATCAGTACAAAATTCAGACCATTTTCTTCACATAAAGCAAGTATACGAAACTGAGTCAGAAGACACGCCCCAGCAGAAAACATAAAATGGAATTACACACGCTCATATTCATGAACTTGATAAGGATTCTGCCTTGTCTTTTGAAGCTTCTCCCTCTGCCTTACCAGCAGCAGCTTTCTCCTCTGGCTTCTTTACCTCTGCAAAACACGAATTCCGGTATGAATTAGGAACTACGCAAAAACAAATCAACTAATAACTGCATCAAATTATACATACTCTATTGTTAAAGCAGTTATTTGAACACAAAAAACAAAGATAATGGTCAATTACAGCAAGGTAGAACACAAGAAAATATTGAAACTTTAATGTCATTGATTTCTATCATGCATCAGGTTTATATCTACATAATGTATAGCATATGTCATACATAATATATCCTCACAATTTGGCATCCACTTCCAAGAAAAGGAAAGATAAATAGCAACACATGGCTGAAGAAAAAAATACCTCATTTCATTCAAGCCCTCATACCACATAATAGAACATACAACAACAACAAAATGTATATACATATACCGAAATCAACCAGCAGAGTTATATACAACAAATTTAATGAACAAACTGCAAATGAAACAGAACATACGTTGAAGAAAAAACACCTCATTTCAAGCCCCAATACCATATAAGAGAACATACGACAGCAACAAAACAAAATATATATAGTACACATACATATATATACCAAATCAACTGTCACGGTTAAATAATTAACAAATCAAACAAAACAATCTGTAAGTGAACTAGTACCTTCGTCATCACTATCCTCAAAGTCATCTCCCATACCACCCATTCCTCCAAATCCACCCATTCCTCCCATGCCACCCATGCCGCCTAGGCCTTCCAGGCCGGCCATGCCACCCATGCCTCCAAGTCCTTCCAGGCCGCCCATGCCGCCCATACCGCCCATGCCTCCCATGCCGCCCATGCCTCCCATACCTCCCATGCCTCCCATGCCGCCCATGTCACCAAATTTCTATAGAACATGGACAACCATTAAGATGTGCCAAAAACAAGAAAACCTCAAACGATAACCCTAAAAACAGATAACCATAGAGACATAGGACTTACAGAGAAATCCATTCCACCCAAATCAAGATCAGCAGGTGCACCTGATTGAATTGTGAGGAATATACAGAGTTGTCAATGTTTATCTAGTGGAACTACTCAAACTTCTAATAAAGAGAAAAAAAAAAGTATTAGAAGTACCGGTGTCATCATCTTCATCGACCCATTTATCCCAATCAACTTTCACGTAGTGGGGTGTCTTTTCATTTCCACGCAATAACTTTGTCCACCATTTCTTCTCCTCTTTCTCCAAAACACAGAATATGTTTCGCACACCTATATTTATTTTGCTCTCCTGCAAAATGAAACTCGTGAGCAACAAAGCCTTATTCGTAAAAATAAAAAATCAAGGTACAACCCCATATCAACTACCGAGCTGAGACATAACTTTCTCTTAATTGCAAATTTTGAGGGCAATAATATTGAGACATGAGTGATACATTACAAAAACTAGTTTCAATTCTTTCCGACCCATAAGGTAAAATATGAAATGCAGTGAGTTAGTATACGAAATTGTAAATAGAACATATACACACACAGTAGTTATAACACAGGTAAGACGAGTATATCACCTCCACATTAACTTTATCAAGCAGATCTAATTTGAGTTCATAGAGATTGTTGTCGGACCCAGCCTTGGCAGACACAGTGAATGTTCCTTCAGGGTCAACGTTGACTTTAGGATCTTTAGCATCTGACAACAGCACAGTCAGATATATCTTGTCCTCCCTTTCAGCCCACTTCACTTCAGGGTGTCGGCTGCAATTACATAACATGTATGTTAGATAGAATGTCTCTAAACATCACAAACAAGAACAGTATGGCAGCCAAAAAAACATAAAGTTAAAATTCCTTTATCTTTCATACATACATATTTCTTCTCAAATTTCACACATATTGCTCAACCAATTATCAAGTCATTACAGCGAGTACTCAGTACAGCAGAATTAAAGAAAGCGGCACCATCATTAAATCACAAATACACTTCCATGGGTTGAAACTTGAGAAAATTTACAATAGCATAAGAAAAATGCAAAAACGAATCAGGAGTACCAAATACCAAATCGAGAAAAAGAAAATGCAGTCAATCATCCACTGTTTCACAGGAATTAAAATCATCGCAGTTTTGCTTTAGTAATAATGCATTTTTTTTAGTGATTAAAGACGAATCATACCTTGGAAAAAATAAATTAAAATACTAATAAATATAACATCAACTTCTTCGAGAACGAATTCAGAGAATAAAAGGAAAAAAAACGATGCAAAGAAAATATTAGATTTCGACCGCAGAATACAACCATGGCTATGAAATCAAAAGATTAAACTGAGATTACAAAAGGAAAAAAGAAAAAAAAAAAAAAAAAAAAATTACCTCATTTTGGAGTTAGGGTATGCGAAGAGGAGAGAAAGTAAGTAGAAAACCCTAGAAGCAGTCAAGAATATAAAGGAAAGTGTGAGCGTGTTAAAGCAGCAGCATAGAGAGCAGTACCCCTTTTAAACCCTCTCGGGGAAGGCATATGATATTCACGTGGAACAAAAGCGTGTGAGCTGATTAACTAAAAGCGGGTTTTTAGGCCTTAGATGTATGCTGAAACCGTTTTAAATTAAAATCAGATTAATATGAAAAATTGAAATTAAACGAGAACTAGTACTTCACCCGTGCGATGCACGGGGCATTGAGCTTTCTAACTCATATTCGATAATAAAATCGTTCTCGAAATAGTAAGATGAATGGTTAATATGCAATACAAAGCCGTAGAAAAATATTATAATATTATTTTATTAATATTAATTTTAATTATAATCCTCGTACTATTACTAACACTAATTAATACTAATACTATTACTAATACTAATAATAGTATAATACTAATACTAATATTATTACTAATATATTAAAGCTAATATTAATATACTAATAACAATACCAATACTAAAATCAACACCAATACCAATACAATTACAAAATCAATATCATTACTAATATCAATATCATTATCATTATCAATACCATTATCATTACCACAGCCATTACAATTACCATTATCATAGCCATTACATTACCAGTCCCATTGCCATTGCATTACCACGACCATTGTTAATACCAATATCAATATCAATACTAATATTAATACCAATAACTATACCGATACCAATACCAGTACTGAAACCGATACCAATGCCAATATCAATATTCAATACCAATACCAATATCAATACCATTACCATTACCATTACCATTACCATTGTCAGTGGCGGATCTAGCTATGGTCTAGGGGGTGCAGTTGCACCTCCTTGATTTTAAACAAATAGTACTGTTATACATAAATATATTGAAAAAGTTATTGGTTGATGTGGTAAAGATGATCACCTTTCACTAATTGGTCGCGGGTTCAATTCCCCACCCTCTTACAATCTGATTTCTTTTTCAAATCTTAATATTTTCACATTTTTTCTCTTTAAATAATTCCACAATTCACCTAAAATTTGTAAATTGTAAAATTTTGGTCCACTATTTTTATAAATCTTAACATTTTCACATTTTTTCACTTTAAATAATTTCTTTTTCAAATCTTAATATTTTCACATTTTTTCTCTTTAAATAATTCCACAATTCACCTAAAATTTGTAAATTGTAAATTTTTGGTCCACTATTTTTATAAATCTTCACATTTTCACATTTTTTCACTTTAAATAATTCCACAATTCACCTAAAATTTGTATTTTGGTCCACTATTTTTATAAATCTTAACATTTTCACATTTTTTCACTTTAAATAATTCCACAATTCACCTAAAATTTGTAAATTGTAAATTTTTGCTCCACTATTTTTATAAAGTAATATTTAAATTTTTTTTTCTACAATTTCGAACCCCCTTGGCAAAAATCCTGGATTCGCCACTGACCATTGCCATTACCATTGAGATTACCAATGGTAATTATAATATGCTAATGCTAACTCTAATCCTAATGATAGTACTAATCATAATCCTTTAGCCTAATCCTAATACTAAATCATATTCACAATCATAATCCAAATAATAATTATAATCATAATCTTAATACTAATTAAATCATATCATAATCATAATTCTAATCATAATACTAATACTAATACTTTTATTAATATTAATACTAATTACTTTTATATACCATAAATAAAGGGGCATAAATAAAAATTTGGACAAAGTAAAATATTTCAATTGGGTTATACTACTACCGTTACCGAGAGGTATAACATATAAAACAAATAGAAATTAAAAAAAATATAACAATGGCCACTAAAAAAATAAATTAAAATATATGAATACATAAAAAAAGAAAAAGAAAAGAAATTCGTAATACTGACATTATTATAAAATGTGAGATAAATGGCTAGGGTGAAGAAAAATATTACAAAATATTCATTACTTCAAAGAATTCATATGCATAAATTTCAATATATTGATTTATAGATGATATAATAGTTAATACTTCCAAAACATAAACAAAAATGAAAAAAAAAAATAAAAAATTAAATAAATAAATACGCATCTCATCCTTGCATATACTAATGGGATAAAAGATATGTATCTATAAAGATTCAAAATCATGAATTTATCGGACCCATAATTTAATGGGATAACAAATGGATGTCATTAAAAAAACGTTAAAAATATTTAGAAAAGTAAACAGTGAAATCAAGTGAACAACAAAAATAACAAAAAAAAATAACAATGAAACAATGAACAACAAAAATAACAAAAAACGACAATAATATGAAGAATAATGAGAAAAGATATAGTAAATAATAAAAAAAAATGTAAAAAAAATGGGACTGGAAAAAAAATTAATGGAAGTTTGAATACATTAAAAATAAATAAAGACGTGAATGAAATATTAAAGAATTGTGAAGAAAGAATGAATGAGAATAAAAATAAAGCCGTGAAAATGAAAAAACAAAATAATATTAATGAAAAAAAATAAAGACCCAACCAAAAAAAATATTAACAAAACAAATAATAATAAAAAAAAAATCGTTCTTTTACTTTATACACTTATTTATTGTATAAAGCGTAACAACGAATATTAACGAAACAAAAAAAATCATTGAAGAACAAAATACATTGAAATACAATTTTTGAAATATTATGTAGAATAACAAAAATTTAAAATGAAAAGGAAAGGGGAAGGAAAAAAAAGAAACAAAGCAAAACGTTTCCCTGAGTTACACGTTCGAATTATGATAAATGAATGAAAACAATGCGGTATTTATAGGGGGTTAGTTTTTCTAGTGTAACAATTTTTTTTAGGTTTTTGCTAAAATAGTAAATTATATTATTGATTAACGATTTGATACATTGAGTGTATAATAATCTATAAAACTAGTATTTCACCCGTGCGTTGCACGGATGTGAGTTTCAAAATAAGAAAAATAAACTTATGTAAACGACTATCTTTTTATGACAATACCAATTCAAGGAAAACAAAATGGAAGGAAATAAAAAAACAAATTTTATCTCTTAATTTAGAGTTGTAACATATAAAATTAAGTTAAATATTACAAATAAGAAAGCATGAAGCGCGCAAAACACGATATCAAGATTAAGTGAAATCATTTAAAGCATATGGTATAACTCTATTTCTTGGATTGCAATCTACTACACCATGTGAATCTTCTGCAAAATAACTAAGGTAACAACAAACACGGTAGCAGAGAAGTAACATAATATGTATTCAACTAATATGCAAGTTTATGACTAATAGCGTTCAATTAGTGATGCGCATTACTCAAACAACAATAAAACTTATAAATATTGCAAAAGAGATATGATGTATACGCCACTATCAGTACTGATACCAATGTTGATACCAATATATATACTGATATCAATACTGATACCAATATTGTTACCAATAGTGATATTAATTCAATTAATACTCATACTCATACTAATACTAATACTAATATTAATAGTAATACTAATACTAACATTAAACTAATAATAATACTAATACTAATACTAATACTAATACTAATACTAATACTAATACTAATACTAATACTAATACTAATACTAATACTAATACTAATACTAATACTAATACTAATACTAATACTAATACTAATTTTAATAGTAATAGTGATACTAATACTAATATTAATACTAATACCGATACTAATAGTAATACTGATACTAATACTAATACTAATACTCATACTCATACTCATACCAATACTAATACTAATACTAATAATAATACTAATACGCACTAATACTAATATTCATATTGATACTAATACTAATACTAAGAATAATACTAATATTGATATTAATACTGATAATAATACTGATAATTTTATTGATAATGATAGTTATATTGATACTAATACTAATACTAATACTAAGAATAAGACTAATATTGATACTAATACTAATAATAATATTGATACTTATAGTGATACTAATAGTGATATTGATACTAATATTAATACTAATAGTAATACTAATACTAAGACTAATACTGATACTAATAACAATAATAATTATGATACTGATACTAATACTTATACTAATAGTGATACTCATAGCAATATTATATTAATACTAATATTAATACTAATACTGATATTAATATTGATACTGATATTAATACCGATATTCATAGTAATACTCATAGTAATACTAATACTAATATTGATACGCATACTAATATTGATACTCATACTCATACAAGTACTCACAATCATATTGATACTCATACTAATACTGATACTAATGTTGATATTGATATTGATACTAATATTGATACTGATAGTGGTACTAATATCGATACTGATACTGATATTGATATTGATACTGATAGTGATACTCATACTGATACTGATATTGATACAAATGTTGATACTGATACTGATACTAATACTGATACGGATACAAATACTGAAACTGAAACTGAAACTGATAGTGGTAATGATATCGATATGATATTGATATTGATACTGATACAGATACCGATACAGATACTGATACTGATGCCGATACTAATGTCGATACCGATAATGATACCGATTCTGATATTGATACCGATATTGATATTTAGACTAATATTAATATTAATACTAATATTAATACTAAAACTAATATTAACACTAATATTAATACTAATATTAATACTAATACTATTACTAATACTAATATTAATACTAATACTAATACTAATATTAATACTATTTCTTATACTAATATGTTAATATTGTTAATGTTAATGCTAATGTACATATTCTAATGCTAATACTAATTTTAATGTTAATGTTAATGTTAATCTGGATATGCTTATGTTGATTAGAAGTGTAATACTAATATTATCCAAATCCTTATCCTATTCCTAATCCTATTCATATATAACACTAACCATGGTTCTAATCCTAATCATAATTCTAATCCTAAACCTATTTCTAACATTAATTATAATCCTAATAATTTTACTACTAATAATACTAATGCTAATGCTAATGTTAATTCTAATTATAATTCTAATTATAATTCTAACCATAATCCTAATCCTAATGCTAATCATAATCATAATACTAATACATGTCACTAATTGTAGTGCTAATCAATAATCACAATCTTAATTATAATTCTAATACTAATCTTAATCATAATCATAATTATAATCCTAATCCTAATATTAATTATAATACTATATTAATCCGAATTCTAATCATAGTATTAATACCAATACTAATTCAAAGAATATTAATTATAATCGTAATTCCAATGCTAATACTAATCACAATCCTAATTCTGATTTTGCATCAATGTTTTTGCAATTATCTATTATTTTGTATAAAAAAACAATTATATTCAATCTCACAACTTTTATATCTAATTCCTTATGTGTGGTACCTGATACAAGAAACACATATTAAATATAGTAGAAATTAATATTTAATTATATTATCAAACTGACATTAAAATTATTTAAAATAATATAAGGGTATAAGCAAAGGTTAAGACGTGAAAAGAACGATAATCGTTGTCAATAGGATAAATTATGAAAATCCTCATGAACTTAGGCTAAATTACGGAAAGCACCCCCACTTATCGGTAATTACCAAAATCCCCCAGATGTTTGTTTTTGTCTTACACGACCCCCGGCCCTTATGGTGTGATTTTTTACGGAATCTTTTCCACCAATCAATTTGCCACATGGGATGAAATTGAATACATGTCACCAATTGAAATTGACAAATGTCAATTAATTAGGTGTGGAATTCAACTTTTATATATTATATAGATTATATAGATTAGAAATTAATATTTAATTATATTATTAAACTGACATTAAAATTATTTAAAATAATATAAGGGTATAAGCAAACGTTAAGACGTGAAAAGAACGAATCGTTGTTAATAGGATAAATTACGAAAATCCTCATGAAATTAGGCTAAATTACAGAAAGCACCCCCACTTATCGGTAATTACCAAAATCCCCCAGATGATTGTTTATGTCTTACACGACCCCCTTATGGTGTGATTTTTTACGGAATCTTTTTTATTCCATGTAATATCCCAAAATTTGTGGATTCTACCCTTGCAGACGTGACATTTATTTTATCTTACTTTTTAAATACAAAAATTCCCCTTAGGGGAGGTAATAGTAATACTAAAAAGTTGTGAAGATATTATTTAAGAAGAATAAATATTTCGTGTAAAGTCCTCCTTACGGTAATTTTTGTCTTTGAAAAGTACCATAAACAAATATCGTGTGCATGGTAGAATCTGCATTTTTCGGTGAATATTCCACGTAATAAAAAAAAAATTGTGAAAAACATACCTTAAGGGGGTCGATGTAAGATGTAAGCAAACATCAGGGAAATTTTGGTAATTACGAATATGATATTAAGTTAGTAAAAAAATAAACAGATTCTCCGGTCATGTTCATGTAAAATGTATAATATCAAATGATTTATTCTGCAATATTTTGTTTATATAAATCCAAGTTTATGAATTAAAATAGACAATTTTCGTAACACCATCAATCATACAATTATAATAAGTGAAGATTTTAAATTGGATTTAAATTAAATTAATTACTATTAAAATTAAATTAAAAAATAAAACTATTTAGAGTTTCTAATAAAGTTGATATATTTAGAACATTTTATAAATGGTATGATATAAATATATAATAAAATAATTAAATATCTTTTTAATATTGGAAAATGGTGACATGTTTTTTGATGATTTATTTTCACCAATCAATTTGCCACGTGAGATGAAATTAAGGACATGTCATCATTTGAAATTGACAAATGTCAATCAATTAGGCATGGAATTCAACTTTTATATATTATATAGATAAGAATGTTACCATAATATATTTATGATCAATATTAATTATGGACAATTTTTTTTTAATTATGAACGGATTGTATGGATCTAAAATTTCAATTGAAGAAATGCATTATAAAATTGAAGAATGATAAGGTAAATTGTAATTAAAATAATGTCATTTATTAATTATCATAAATATTTTATCACAATCCGGTATATGATATAAGGTAAATTAATAAATATTGGAAAAAGATTCCTCTACCCATGCTCCTCCTAAAAGGAAAAGGGAAGATGACCGTCAGGACAATAGGAGGCGGGATGATCGACGTCCACCACTTCCACCTCAAGGTCAATCATCTTCCTTCTACAACAGATTCACTCCGTTAAACGCTCGCCTCACTGGAATTCTTCACGTGATAGAACAAAAAGGTTTAGCAGAGCCTCCACGTCCTATGCAGCCAAATGCAAAGCGAGAAAAGTCGGATCGTTATTGTCGATTCCATAAGGACAGAGGGCATACTACGGAGGAATGCGCACAACTCAAAGTGGCGATTGAGAGGCTGATCAAACAGGGCCATTTAGGCGAATACATTGATAAGCCTCGAAACAAGCGCCGTGATGATCCTCCACGCCGAGATAACAATCGAGATCAACAGCAAAGACGAGAGGATGGGGGCCATCGACGCGACCCAGATAACAACGATAACCAACCTACCCGGGGAATCATCTCCTTTATCTCCGGAGGACCGCCGGGTGGCGATTCACAAAATGCAAGACGCACCCTCGCTCGATCAGCACGCATGAATCAAGAACGTGCTTCTCCATCCGCACGCATCTATCAAATACGAAGACCTGATCATAGCATAGTCTTCAACTCCTCCGACCTTGAAGGTCCAGATGAAGATCATGTCGATGCGTTGGTAGTAACAACAACGGTGGCCAACTTCTTGGTTAAGAAGATATTAGTGGACGGTGGGAGCTCAGCTGACATCATGTACCTCCACGCTTTTCAAAATTTTTTTTTTCCCGCCGATTCCGGCGTTGACTTTTTAATTTTTTTTTCCTTCCGGATTTTTTCGCCGGTCTCCGGCGTTGACTTTTTCGATTTTTTTTTCTTTTTTTTTTCTTTTTTTCTTCTTTTCTTTCTTTCTGTAACATTTTTTTCGTTTAAACAACAATATTGCTGTGATTGACAGTAATATTAACTATATTACTGTTAAACACAGTAAAATTAAACTAAACTACTGTTTAACACAGTAATATTGCTATATTAATCTCTAGCACAGTAATATTAACACAACAAAACTCATTATTATTGTGTAATAGAGTAATATTACTATGTTGACCGTTCAACAGATGTAAACATAATAAAAAACCAAAAGAATTAATATTATTGTGAGTGACAGTAATATTACTATAACAACATAATATTACCGTCAACCACAGTAATATTACAATAATAGACAGTAATATTACTACGTTACTCCATGAATAACACAAACAAACAAAAAATTCAAACAAAATAATAATATTGATGTGGTTGACAGCGATATTACTATAACAACAGTAATATTACCGTCAACTACAGTAATATTATTGTGTTTACAGTAATATTACAATAATAGACAGTAATATTATTACGTTACTCCGTGAATAACTTAAACAAAACAAAAAACCCAAAAAAATAATAATATTGATGTTGTTGACAGTAATATTATTGTGTTTACAGTTATTTTACTGTCAACAACAGTAATATAATTACGTTGACTTGTCAACAAATCAAACAAAATAAAAAAAACAAAAAAACAAAAAAAAAATAATATTACATTAATTTACTGTCAACGGCAGCACAATTACATAAATGTATTGTTAACGGCAGTACAATTACGTTAATTTACTGTCATTGACAGTATAATTACGTTAATTTACTGTCAGTGACAGTAAAATTACGGTCAACGTTTAGCGGTGGACGTAAAAAAAAACAACAAAAAAAAAAGCTCAAAAAAATACGAAAAAAAATCAACGCCGGAAACCGGCGAAAAAATCCGGAAGAAAAGAAAAAAAAAAAAAGTCAACCCGCCGGAAACCGGCGAAAAAATCCGAAAGAAAAAAAAAAAAAAAAAAATTGAAAAGTCAACGCCAGAATCCGGCCGCAAAATATTTTTTTTGAAAAAAGAAATATTGGTGAAAAAAAAGTTTTGGGTCAAAATTGAATAATTTGTGAAATTTGGGGTCAAATTGAGATTAAATTAAGTTAACGGATGAAATTGGAGCATATTGAAGTATGCTCCAAAAAAAAAGTCAAAATTGAATTTTTGTGGTCAAAATTGGATTTTTGTGGACAAAATTGATTAAATTGGGGTTACAATTAAGAATTGAGTATAAATAGTTGAGGGTAATATTGGGATATACATAAGTGTTTCCTTTATTTATAATAAATATTAAAGGGATAGGCTTATTGGTGAAAGAGATCTAGCCCCTAAACCTAGAATAATAAACATGCTTGGTTGGGGACTTTATCATAAGAAGTAAAAACCCTTAAAAAATAATCCTCAAATTAATAAAGTATTAAAATAAGATAAACAATTACTTAAAAAATCATTCAAGTGATGTTTGCTAGATAAGTTACGTTGGAAAAAAAATAAATAAAGGGGATACTAACTTTGTATTTCTTATTTTGGCTGAAATATTTCTAAATACTTTACTAACATATATTTCCCATAAATGTGGGGATAAGATTGTCATTGCACAAGAAAACATTAGAAAATTAATCTTTATATTTTTTTTTTAAGTTTGACCACAAAATGTAAGGGATATTTGGTACATTTCGTAATTGAGGGGTGTGTATGCGAGACACCCCATAATTCAGCGGTACAAAGTGAACTTTGTCCATTATTTTATACCAACTATTTTATATTATATATTTCGGAAAACAATCAGAACTAAAACCGGATCGAAAATCAATATTTCAGTAATTTTATATACAATTCCAATTCCATTGAAAAAAATGGAAAAGATGGAAAATTGAAATTTCAAAAATCAAAATGAAGAAAATATTTCTATATTCGAATATTTTTCGGATGAGAATTGATGGAATTCGAAAATTCATTTCCGATTTCCACCCCTACGTATAGGTCATAAGGTTCTAAATATTGCAATTTTGTGGCATAGTGGGAATCTACTATTGCCATTTGTCTATTACAAGGACAACGTTTGGTGGAGTTTAGGGGACTAAACGAGTCGAACTTGAACTGGGTTTGAAAGATCTTTTGAACTTGAGCACATTGAGGACCATGTTCCCTGTGCTTTTGAAGACCATGTTCGAGCTCGAGTCGAGTTTGTGAAGCTCGAGCTCAGATCATTTTAGTTATTTATTTATTTTTATTTAAAACCTTTTTTTTTAATCATAAATTGGTTATATTATAAAATAAAAATGAACTGAATTTTAGTTTTGAAATTTGTATATGGATATAATAAAGAGAAGTGAAGACAAGCTCATGCAGGGAAGACAACTTTAGGACAGAGAAAAAAAATATGTAGTCATAAAGTGCTAACTGAAAAGGCCTCCTACATTACAATCATTATGAGCAAGCTAACTTCCATCGACCATAGGACACTTGCTCCGAAACAGGACAATGCTACAGCTCGTAATTTGCAGGTTATACTAAGCAAATTATGAAACACGGCAAGATTTAACCAAACCAAATTTGCCTTATAACATTAAGAGCAACAAAGCATGAAAAGTCTATCTTTTTCCTGGTAAGGAGACGTTAAAATTGAAAAAGAAGCCTCTAGGTAGGGAGACAGGTCATTTACCACCATTTGAAGACGAATTTTTTGTTGTGCTAGAAACAATGCTATATCCAATTATAGTCCATTTGGGATGTAAAATAGGTATCTACTCACGTAGTATGAACAAATTATATAAGAATTTCCATCCATATAGTATACTATTGTAAGCTCAAGAAATAAATATTCAATGCCAAATACTAGTTACCTAGGAATAGCGAGAAACAAAGGAAACTTGCTTACTTCACTTGCCAAAGGCCTTTTTCGTTAAACATCTCAAAAAGTTTTATCAACCGCCCAACAAGTTTCATAATACAATATTTGTAATCCAACACATTACATTATCATGCATGCGAATTATACACATCTTACATAAAACCATATAATTCATCAATACTTAAACATCCCGTAACAAAAACTAAGTAACCCCTTAGATTAATAATATACAATTCGCAAGAGGAAACGCCACCAAATAACATGCACAAAATACAAGACGTGAATTAGACAAGCCACGAGACAAAAAAATCAAAATACTAATTCAAATTCGTATCCTTCATATCACAAATCAATACTTCTAAATCACTAATCTAGTTAATACAGCCAACACTATTTGATGTCTAGAGAATTCAGTCAACAATACAAATGATAGTGGTAAATGTAAATAAATCCATAAGTAAACAACATCACACAGCAACAACACATGCACAAAAATCAAAATGTTTAAGATCGATAATAATAATTAAGTAAAACAGAAAGGTACCGATTGCTGCAGGTTCAAGTGTACAAAGGCCAATTAGTCCAAGCCCCGGAAACATGGCCGTTTTCACAAACATACGCCCGAACAACAGGCTCCCCATCATCATGGTACCCGAAATACCTCCTCAAACAAAACGAAGAATGCAAATCCCATGTCTCTTTAGAGCTACAATATATGCAATTCAATTCAATTATTTTGCTCCTATCATCACTGATTGTCCTCCAAACCCTCGACTGTTTGAAATTCTTGAAAATACCCCTAAACAGCATGTAGTTACGCTTCTCCTCAATGTGAATGCAACCTGGCCAATCACAAATGTACAAGCAATCCCCCTTAAACCGACTCGCCAGCAATTTATTCCCTTGCTCTCGGCTCAAATTCCAAATCCCCGACGCCAAATGTGACCTCCGCGGTCTAACAACACAAATCTTCCTCCTCTTACAAGCAGCAATAGAATCTGCAGCAGGGATCGAAGACTCACCAAATAACAAATCGTCGTGCAATGACCACGTTGATGCAGGAACAGTACTCGATTCCGGAATTCCTTCTTCAGGTACAGTGAACTCCAACAATCCGTGCTCTTTGTAACTCTGATCATCGTCAATCCCGAAATCGGAGTTATCGAGGGGGACGCCTGAGTGGATTAGGCCAGGGCAGCATACGGCAAGCTTGAAAAGAGACGCCCACGCCCAGCCACCGGGAGGAAGTAGAAGATCGGAAACGACGGCGGGAATCGATTCAGAGCATTTTGATCTGAAGCAGACGGTTCTGATGAGAGAGGAGAATTTGGTGGAGATGCAGGATACCCTAGCCCAGTTCCGGGGATCTTCCTCAAGCTTGTAGAGTATGTTCAGAATGACGTCATCTGATAGCTTTGAGAAAACCCCACCTTCACACATTTTTGTCTCACAAATTCAGGTTCTCTAGGGGATTGATTGAGGATGTTATTACAGTTTTACTAATTTAGGGGACTTGTTTGCAAACTTTCCTCTAAACTCATACCGTCTATTCTTATCTGTTAAATCTATGAACTTATATTACGCCTATCGCCAATTTTAGGTCGATTTTACTCAACAATCAAATCCATTTTCATCAAAATTTTCGATTTTGTGATACTATATTTTTAGTGTGAATTCTAAGGGTTTTTTTTTTTTGCAAAAACCACTCATGTGTAATTTCGAATTGTTGAAAAATTTCTTATGTTAAAAAAATTAGCAAATACCCCCTATGAAAATTAGTCAAATGCAATAAGATCCCTGCGGACCAAACGTGTGTAGCACGCGCGAAATATGCGAATGTGTATGTGCTTTTTGACGCAAAAATACTCAAATACCATTTAAATCAAATATTTTAAAAATCATAAATTCACCACAATTTTAATAAGGCCCAAAATAAAATTCTCAAAATTTTCAATTCAATCACCAATATTTTCTAAAAAGCCATCTTCCAGATTCACACCAAAACCAGATTTATCTTCTCCACCACACACCTACAACCACCAAAAGTTTCCCTCACCATAAAATAATCCAATACAAATCAACAAATAAAAGGGAAACTGAAATTCAATCAAACCCAAAATTGAAATCCATTTTGTAATGGAAAATTCCATTGCAGACCGTATATTTTTGTTTGTGTGTATGTGTGTGTGTGTTAGAGAGAGAGAGAGTAGCAGCTCTTTTAACAAAGAGTAAGACCCAACCTCCTCCAAATCAGTGGCCTCTGCCCTCATCCTCCTCCAAATCATCAAAAAACCCACATCAAGAATTCATTTTTTTTCCTTTTCCTATTTTTCCCACTATAAAAAAGAGGCCAAATGAAATTCAAGAACTAGAAAATTTGTCTCAAAACTAATAAAACCATCTTCCCTTTGTTCTTTATTCTTGAGGTGGTCGTCTTTAACTCTACCGTCGCCGCCAAAGGGAAGATTTTCCAATTTTCTTTTTTTGCCGATTTTCTTGTATTGTATACGTTTTTGGGTGTGGATATTTGCTTTATTCTAACAAGGGGTAGGTATGTCATTTCATGTATGTTCAACCGAAGATCAACCCAAACACTCCCATGTATGTAATCGAACAATAGCCCCAAGTCCTACAGTGCCATAAGATCCATTGATTGCCGAATCAAAATTTACCTTGATTACATTCACGTTCGGTGGGAACCAACTAGATTCTGGATTTCTCACTTAAATGTTGTCTTGGAGCACATTGTTCGCGGGGCTTCCTAAAATGTTCCCATACCAAAAACATGGGCTTTTGTGACGAAAAGTTTGGTCACCGAATTGAGGAAAATCCGTCACAAATAGGCTTTTGTGACGGAGTTGTGACGGAATACGTCCGTGAGAAATAGCCTTGTCACTAATTAAAATAGTGACGGGTTTTTTCAATCCGTCACACTTGTGTGACGGAAAATTCTGTCACAAATACCTTGTCGAACTCCCTTAAATTTAGTGACAGATTCCGTCATAAGCAATTTGTTTGTGTCATTAATCTGTCACAAGATTTAGTGACAGATTCCGTCATAAGCAATTTGTTTGTGTCATTAATCTGTCACAAGATTCTGTCATTCATCTGTCATAAGTATCGTCACAAAAAGTCCGTCACATGCATCCGTAACAAATGTTCCGTCAAATTTCAGTCACAAGCAATCCGTCACATTGATTGTCACAAATATCCGTCACGTTTCTTCGCAATACCACCATAATTTTTTTTGTTCTCTTTATTTTACTACAATATATTTTTGGACAAAAAATCGAAAAAAATAAATCACAAAGCATATATCTATTAAAACAAAATCATATCTTTTCCAATATCTCATAACTTCATTTGGCTAGTAGTATCTAGTGCTAAGAATCTTTTAAAATTACAAAACATAAATATCTTATGTATAGAAACCATGAGCTCTAAACTCGTTTATATTCCTCCTCTTTTTCTGAGTCACCGCCATTTATTTTGCCTTCAATTTTCAGGTCACATTCCTAACACCATTCTTTATCGTCCTTCAATATCGACAATCCATGGCCTTAGTATCTATCTTCCTCTTCATGAAAAACGAGAAGGCTTTCATGGAAGAATTTCATCTTTCAACTGTTTAAAGCAAAAGGCAAGGAATAATTAGAACAAGGTAAAAAGTATGTAAGATCTCTTTAGATGTCTGCAACTTTTAAATGCAGTACAAAAAAGGCGAAAAAAGCTCCATTCACCTGTTGTAGAGAAGTTTTAGGCAATTAGATCTTTTATGATTTATAAAGGGCTGAAGATCCCACCGTCCATATTTCCGGTCCAGTAGGTCTCAGACGTGACGACGATGTCTGCCAATATTTACATACAAGTTATCATTATCAACACTTCCACTTGAGTATATTGACTTGCTTAATAACGTGAATTACCTCACTTAATATCCGTCAAAGGACATCTTCCCAATAGTCGGAAGGATCTAATCGAATCTTTTGAATCGATGGAGAAGATACAGGATTTGCATCAACTCCTTGATCGGAGAAACTCTCCAAAATTCTCCACGAAGACATTTCTCTTGCATTCTACCAAGATCATAGGTTATTTCTGCCTCCATTTCAAGCAACCCTAACAACATAAATGCATAATTCTAACTTCTCTCAACAACAAAAACAAAAACCATTGAAATTACTTTAATCATAAATACAAGGCACTACCAATAAAGCCAAATACATCTAATCTCCATGAAAAGGTTGAGAATACAGGATTTAAGTGTGAAACCATAAAATTTATAGCCTAATTATATCAATATCTGTAGAAACCAGATGATTCTACTCGATTTTTCACCCACCTATGAATTTACAATACAAATAGAAAACATCTTCATCTGTATTTCCAAATCAATGGTGAAATTTACCCTTATGCCCAAGTGGTAGTGTGTCGACTAGGAAAGTTTCCGTCAACGGTGCGCCGTCGCCGTCCCTCAATCGCATAAATCATCTGCAATTCAACGCCGCTACTGTTGAGCTGTTGCCGAACCATAGAAATTTTTAAATCCCGTGTTCTACCACTGTCGCCGATGAGCGATGTTTGGCGGTGTTAAATTGGAGAAAAATAAATAATTAAAGCCGTGTTCAAGTGTGGAACTGTATTGCGCAGACGACGGCAGATCTGTATTCTTGAACATAAACTTTGTTTTGGCCTTTTGGGCCTAGAATTCATAACTTATTGGTTCAGAGGTAAGTTTACTGAATTTGAGACCAAATTATCCCGGTATGAAATTTTGTCCCTCCCTTTATAGTTCTCTTTCTTCGTTCTTGTTGCAAAGAGAATCAAATTATTCATTTTATAGATGAAAGATGGTTTCCACATAATTGTCCTTTCATAATTATTTTTAAATAGGAATTGAATTGTCCTTTTACTGTTGGAAGGGTGGAATCCAAATTTTCTTTTATGGTATTTTTTATTTATTCAATATTACTAGTGAAAAGAATATGATCAAATAATTATAAAGGTCACAGTGAAATTTTTCATTCATATATTATTAATAGTTATAATATATTAACATATATATGGGTGTTAATTCCGTAAAATTGTATCGAACCGTACCGAATTTCGGTAAATCAAAATTGCAGTACTTCGAAATTTTGTACCATAATTAATTTTGTTTTTTCGGTTCCATACCGGTAAAAGCAAAAATATATTTTCTTATTTAAAAAAAAAATTAAAAATAAATATTTAAACTAATTAATTCTTGAATTTGACATTCAAATTACAACAATCGGCCCTAAAAATAAAAAGTGATTTCAATAGAGGCTAATTTGGAAATAATGAAAAAACATATCAAATTTAAAAGTATTTTATAATTTGTTATAACCTTAACGGATTTAAAATAAAAGGGAAAAATATTAAATATTTTAGTATTCGGTACGATACGGTAAACCGGGCATCAATATTGTATATCGTACCAAATACCATAATTAAAAAAAAGGTTATTGAAAACTAAGCATAATTTTCGGTTCATCATATGGCGCATACCGAATTTTCTATCGGTTTACCGACCGAGTGAACACTTTTAAACATATGTTCACAATTTTGAGGGCTAATATAGTAAAATTATACGATTAAGATATAATAAATTTATAGTAATCAAACAAACTTAATCATTCTGCATTCAGTCTTCAGACATTATGCTTAACAATTCAGTTATTTATTCAACATTCAGTGTTCAGTGCTTAATTCTATCAAACGGAGCCTTAGTGCCCACACCTACCTAGAAAAAGAGCACTTTATAAGAATATGGTGAATATCTTCCTCCTCAACTCCGCACATGGGGCATAAATCGTCTGTTAAAACCTTTTTTTTCCTTAGATTATGACAAGTAGGTAGTAGATTCTTACATGCTCGCCATACAAAAATCTTAGTTTTAGTCGGCAAATTTAACGACTATAAATCGTCTGTTAAAACCTTTTGGTTTTGCCTAAATTTTTTATTGTTTGAGTCTTTTGTTCTTTTTTTGTTCGCCTATATTTTTTTTATCTTTTATTTCCTGAAAAAAATTTATAAAAATTATAGATATAAAATATAAAATAAGAGTAAATAAGAAACGAAAAATATTTTTTTTTTCTTAAAAAAAGGAAAAATGTAAATGAGGATGCGAGTATGGAAAGAAGATAGTGTAAGTGCAATTTTGGGATTAGAGAGAATGTGAAAGGAGTATGGTTTATCTCAAAGAGTGAAATATGGATTAGGTATCTCCTTATTAATGATATGTTTGAGAATTTTCTCAAAGAGCCCCATAGTATAGGAATTATTAGTGAGAATCCCTCACTAGTTACGTATAATAAAAATGAATCCAATCCCTTTTGCTTTATTAGTGAAAACCTCCTAATTAGTTAATTAGATTAATATTTAACAAACTAAAATTTAATATACCTATTTTTCCCTTACAGGTCATATTTTTAAGATTTTTTATTACGTAACCCTATTTATTTCATCCATTTTCTTTTCTCTCCAGTACTAGCTATCTTATCCGCTTGGAAAATGTTTATCCACGACCGCTCTCTTAGAGTAGGTGACCAACAAGCCAACTTGTGGCTGTGGTCTTTCCTTTTATCTTGTAATAAAACAATCGTTTTTCGTTCGTAATAATAAAATATTTCATTTGGCATTCTATATCTCTTATCCCATGCAAGTAGCATAGATATAGTCCTAATGAGTTACTCTATTACTGTGAGTTGATCTAGTAGAATTATGAGATAACTCAGCAATGTAATGTAACTGTTAAACCTTGTTCCTAGTCGATGGGTTACGCCAATAATGAGGATACAGGCCTTTCCCTTTTGAGACTAGCACTTAGTGTATGTGTACTGCGTCTCATCAGTCCTCGGTGTTGTGACATCGGCATACTTGAGTGGGTGCTCATACTAGATGAGTTCATTGAACTCCCTCGCCCTAGAAATCTATAAGTGGTTCTCATTCATCGAGTAATAGGTTTCTAAGATATAGTTGTACACGATTAGTCCTTAAGACCCAGACATCACCGTGACTTCACTAGAGGACCGATTGTATCGTGACCTGTCCCTGAGTCCCACAGCGGACCACTCCAAGGGCCAACGTTCGTGCAATCCGAAATCTAGTGTGAAGTCTGTGCATTGTAGTAGGGGATTCGAGCGCTTGAGTAGTCATGGATGACTGATGAGACGCAGTACACATACACTAAGTGCTAGTCTCAAAAGGGAAAGGCCGGTATCCTCATTATTGGCGTAACCCATCGACTAGGAACAAGGTTTATCAGTTACATTACATTGCTGAGTTTTCTCACGATTCTACTAGATCAACTCACAGTAATAGAGTAACTCGTTAGGACTATATCTATGCTGATTGCATGGGATAAGAGATATAGAATGCCAAAAGGTATTTTACCATTAATTTGAAATAGATTATTTACGAGTAGCGTGAGAAAACACAACACTTAGTTGGCTTATTGGTCACATACTCTAACACATGAACCATTGAGGGTCACACTTCTCGTGTAATACGGATCCTTGATAACAATGAGCATAGGTTAATATGTTAATCTTTGCAAAGTTGGAGGTCAATATGATTGAGTCCAAGATTCGTGATTGTGGATTACGAGTCGGAATGAACGTAGAGAAAGAAACATGCGGAAATTAGTGAACTTTCTAAATTGGGAAGTTTCCCGATTTAACAGGTCCATTTGAATGTAATTTCAAATCCAAACTACTACGTTTGCGTCATCCAATGCCGCATTATTCTAAGCCTCGGAGGTGGAATCCGCCGTCATGTTCCATTTGGAACTCTTTCCAACACACGGCACCCCGTTATGAAGCTTGAATATAATCCCTCACGTCCTTTAAAGTTGTCCATTTCCGATTGAAACGCTAAAGTCGTCGAACGACTTTACTTTCAACTCGGAATCCCCACAGACTATATATGAACAAGTCCTTAGTACTTTGCAAGTATTCAAGGATTTCTTTCATATCTATCCAACTAACTTGGCTGGGGTTAGACTGAAATCTACAGTGACGCTTTACTGCATAAACCATATGAAGTCTATAATATGAATTAGGGTAGCTAAGCAACCTCTTCTATTTATCTCTATAAATACGTATCCTCTAATACGTAGGAAGCTTACCCTAAATTCATTCATTGAGAAACGTGTGGACAACCGTGTTTTAGTTGACTGCAACATTCCTACATCATTCCCAATGAGTAGAATGCCACAAACACAAAACACTATTAAACGTAATGGCGCTCCCACTAACCTTCTTGTGAACTTAAGGCTCTTTCGAACTCTTCACTAAATCAAATCCCTTTGATTTTCGTGTGGAATCAAACATTCTAATTTAATGGGATGCTAGGTTCAATCTGTTAGAGTAGGTGACCAACAAGCCAACATGTGGCTGTGGTCTTTCGTATTTATTATTGTAATAAACGAACCTTTATTCGTATTAATGATAAAACACCTTGGCATTCTATATCTTTGTCCCTTCTTCACAAGCATAGATATAGTCCTTACAGTTATTACAAGTACTAGTAATTGATCGTTAGGATCGTGAGATATTTACTTAAGTATTATAACTGCTAAACATGTTCCTAGTCGAAGGGTTACGCCACCAATGAGGATATCGGCCTTTCCCATTAAGAGACTAGCACTTAGTGTATGTGTACTGCATCTCATCAGTAAACGGTATTGTGATATCGGCATGCATAAGTGGGTGCTCGTAAGTTGATGAGTTCACTGAACTCCCTCACCCTAGAAATCTCTAAGTGGTTCCCAATAATCGAGTAGAGATATCTATGGTATAGTTGTACACCATTAGTCCTTATGACCTAGACATCACCGTGACTTCACTAGAGGACCAGCTGTATCGTGACCTGTCCCTGAGTTCCACCGAGGACCATCCCAAGGGCCAGTGTCCGTGCAGTCCAAAATCTAGTGGGAGGTCTGTGCATTGTAGTCGGGGATTCGATCGCTAGAATAGTCTTGGATGTCCTGTGTGTTCTGAAAGTTTGTAATCATTCTAAGTCTCTGGCCAGAGCTGACTAAGTGATGATTAGAGAATTCGATTCTCTAAGTCATGCACGTGACGATTACAACACTTAGAACGATCGCACCGTAATTGAACATATAAAGAGGTCTCGACAAACCAATGTCTCTAGTTCAATCGGGACATATGAATCGAAGGGACCGTACCGTACGTTAACTATATCTGAAGGTTCTTGCAGGCACTTCATTTGTATCTAGGGAATCATGACGCGTAGTTGCTAGACGCCAATCTTGATTCGTTGGGTGATTAAGGTGAAACGAGTTTCATCTTAATCGTAACTCTAAGGGGACGAGTTTTGACCACAAAGGGTTGTGGGCCCACGGCTAGCTTACACCTGAACCATCGAGGGTCACACTGCTCGTGCACATGAGATCTTTGAATAAACGGTCAGAGATAAAATGGTTTATCTTTGCATGATTGGAAGTCAATATGATTGGCTCCAACATTCGTAATTTGGAATTATGAATGATAATAAGAAAAGGAAAAGAATAGGCAAACGTATTAGTGGACTTTCTAAATCGAGAAGTTTCCAAATATAGAAAGTGCACTGAATTAGGGTTTCCACTTTTGGAAAGTTGGAAATCGAGAGTTGACACTCGTAATGACGAGGACATTATAATGGTTCCGAAAATGTAATCGTTACAATTTTCCGATCATTGAATTGAGAGAGACGAGCAAGTAAAAGAACTAACGAACTTAAGCTGTTGGGCCCTGTCCAACTTAAGCCCGTTAGGGTTTTATGCAAGACACTATAAATACTTGATTTATAGGTCTTACACTAATGAGAATACACGAACTAACCCTAGCCGCTCTCACCTCTCTCGGCCAATCTCAACCCGCGGCCATCACC